GGGAGCTTCCTTCAAGTCAGGGGCACCTGTGCTGTTGTTCTTTGGTTTCTCACAATCACCTGGACCTGACAAGAAGTAGGTTCAGTATCTAAGAAGTGTCCTCGGGTCACCGCATTTGGCCAGGACCTGCAGGCACCTGGTTTTCTCAGGGCCTGGATTCTTGCTGATCTGGGAGCACTATGGGATGGCTGAGGGAGCGACCCTGTCTCCCCACCTCCTGCCTCCCAGGCTCACACTGCTTTAGTCACCAGCTTGTCCCCATCACCCACTCCTGCTCTGCCCCAAGGGCCTTGTTCCTACCCCTCCAAAACCTTTCACAGGCATTAGGTCATTTCACTCTCAAAACAATCCTACAAAGAAGATGAGGAAAAGAGGCCCAGAGATAGGCCCAATGCCCCAGGATCAGTGAGCTGAGTGGCAGGGTAAGCACAAGAACCAAGATATTAAAAGAATTCTTGTTTCTGTTCTCTGCCTTTTTGTTTCTTGAATTAGTTGCTTTTTGCCCTTGAGTTTCCATATATTGAGCATGTGTTTAAGTGGTTTTCCCTGGAAAGGTGGTCGGTTTCTCTAGAAAGATTCGTTTCAGCTGTGGAGCAGTTGCATCATGGAGACTAACAGGTTTCTGCTAGAAGAGTCTAGAACATCACACAAGTGCCTTGGATATCGCCAGGCCCAAATGCTTGATTTTACAGCTGTAAGCGTTGAGGCCCAGAGAAGTCAAGCCACTTGCTCAAGGTTACAGAGCTGATTCTCAGCAAAACCAGTTGTGCAGATTCCCAGTCTGGCTCCACTCACTTTCCACCGCCCCTGACCCTGCTGCCCTGTAAGGCCCTTGGTTCTGTCACCAGGGGAGAGGGAGGGAGAGACAGTGGGAGGGCAGGAAGCGGTTGGTTTGTGTCGGTCACAGCTGCTCACTTGGCTGTGCCTGCCCCTTGCTCCCTCATCCCATCCCTCTGTCTCTGCTTTCCCAGCCCTGAGCCAGCAGCCTTGTCTGCCTCCTGGCTGGAGTCTCCTCTGTTCATTGTAAGGAGGCGGGGGTGGGGTGGGGGGTGTCCTTCCCACCCTGGGAGAGGGCTTGCTCGGGTGGGCTGGAGACAAGGCACTCCAAAGTGGGGAGAGATTTGGGGTGGGAGCAGCGGAACTGGATTAATTTTGCAGATCCAGGGGACTGGGAAATAAATCATGTTTTTAAAAAGACAGGCTTGTTTCTGGTCCATTTCCCATTTTCCTTTGGAGAGCAAAGGGAAGGCCTGCTTCTGGGGGGTGCTGGGGGTGGGCATGAGCTTGGGTTGTTCCACACTTAGCAGTGGGGCTCAGTTTCCAGAGGCTGAGAGATCTTTTCCTGTCTGCTCCCCACTCCCTGCCCAAATGCCCAAACCCCAAGGGCCTGGAAGGGCATCAGACCCTTCAAGATGATTACTGAAAAAATTACCCAAGCAGCAGAGACCTTATGTGCATGTAGTTTAGGTGGGTCAAGAGCCCCCACTTCTCCCGCCCAGGGTTTGGGGGTGCCCCCCCCATTGATGAAGACAGCAGCAGCTCCCCTCATCTTCTAGCATGTGTGTTGGCACATCACTGCTCACAGGCCAAGCCCAGCCTGCCATGTCGTTTTTAAGTAAAGTTTTATTGGCACACAGCCCATTCAGTCTTCTACAGACTGTCAGGGGCTGCTTTTGTGCTGTAACAGCAAAGGTGAGTAATCTTGACAGAGACCACATGGCCCACAAAGCCTAAAATGTTGACTCTGGCCCTTTACAGGAAGAGTGTTAACCCCCGTTCTAGCAAAACGAGCCTTCCTGGGTTCTCAAGGCCTGAGCCAAATAATTGCCCTTGGCTCACTGAAAGAGGTTAACATTTCCCGAAAGTTTTCCTTCTGACAGCCCAAAAGAAGCCAGAATGGAAGGTGTACAAGTAACAAGTGCAACAGAGATGGGTAGAGATGTGGACCCTCTTAGCTGGGTTGGCACAGGGCTGAGTGGGGCCAGATGGGGCTGGAGTGGGCCTGGTGCTGGGCCTGCGGGGTGGTGAGGATGGCCTTGCTGGGTGGCAGACCACTGGGCCGCATTTGGGGTACAGCAAAAGGGAGTTAGAGCCCCAGCAAGGCGTGGCACCAGGTAGTGAGGCCCTCCCCATTTGGAGTTCAGGCCACACCAGCTTCAAGCCTCAGAGGTGTGCCTACCTTGTGTCAGCCCTACCAGGGCATGAAAGTCGGGCCTCATAGCTCCTGCTGCCCAGGAAGCTTCTGGCTGCGAGTCCAGGTGAGAGACTCTGGCCGTGGAATGTTTGTCTTTAGGGTGCAGTCTTCCAGAGTCCCTCCACCCCCGATCCCAGCTGACCTCGTGTTTGGGGGTGTCAACGGGAAGGCATCTCTGACTGGGTGCCAGCATCTTCTCGGCACATCCAGTATCGAACACCGTCTGGTTCTCGTCCTTGTGACTCCAGTAGGGTTTTCCTGGTGCCCTAAGGTTGGTTTGAACGAAGCTTCTGGGAGATGTTGCCAATGGTAGCGAACCGTCGTTGAGCACTGACTGTGGTAGGCACTACGCTGAGCACTTTTTGCGTATTACGTCATTTAACCCTTGTAGCAACCTAGAAAGTAAATATGTCATCTGTGTCAGTTTTTACAAGGGAGGGAACAGGTTCAAGGAGGTTAAGTAAGTCTCTCCAAGGAGAGAATCTGCACAGTCAGACTCCGGAGTCACTAAACCCCTCTACCAGAGCCCCTTACTGCTGGTTTACATGAGAGCGGGAAGTGACTTGCTGAGTAAGGGGGGGATTAGGTGCTTTAATTTATGACTAGCATCAACTGATCACCTGGAGTCTGTAGCCCCACACCAGGTGGACACCGTACTAGCTGTGTGACCTTGGGCAAGTTACTTAACCTCTCTGGTTAATTTTCCTCATCTGCAAACTGGAGGGAGTACCTAACCATTGTAGGATTATTCTGGAAAACAAAGGAGTTACTATATTTCAGGGCTCAGCCTGACTCTTGGTGTACCATAAATGCTACATGAACTTTTGCTGCTGTTATGATTATCTTTACTGTCACTGGGTCAGGCAGCTCTCCGGGCCAGCACTGGGTGCCTCTCAGACTCGCATCTCAGTGTTTGCTTCTTACTGGCCCCACTGCAGCCAACGCTGTGCTCTTTCGGAGGCGATGAGAAGTTCAGCAGAGAAAGCAGCAGCCCGGGGTGATCCCAGACCTGGTTCCATTTCCGGCTCTGTTACTCTATGCTTGTGGGAACCTGGGCCAGTGTCCTCCCCTGTAAAATGGGGCGAAAAATGCATACCCACCTCAAGGGACTGTCGAGTGAATGAAGCACTATATACTCTGGGTGGACTGTCAGTGCTTTTAACATGTTGACTCTCTGATACTCTGGAGTTGTTCACACCGTTGATCAGGCTAAGAGCTATCTGCCTCATTATAATGTTATCGTATTACATATGTCCTTTTAGGCGCTTTGACTTTACTCCTCTGTCTTGGCAGAAGGATAACTTCTAACCTCATTTCACAGATAAGGAAACTGAGGTCCAGATCAGACATGACTGTCTGAGCCTGAGATAGAGACCCCATCTCTGATGGTCACTAAAGGTCCCGGTCCTTCTGGGTTGGAATTGGGGCGGAAGACTCTAAATGAGTCTTCTTCCTTCCATTCTGCCAGGGCCTGTCTTCCTCATTGGGTAGGGCTGGGTCAAGAGCTGGACAAGACATCAGAGCTCAGTGGTGTGGGGCCTCAAGACTGGAGACTGGCCTTGGACTCTCCAACCCTGATGTCTGAGGGTCCAGGTCCAAGCTGCTGAGCCTGCTGGCCTGGTGAGGATCCTTGGAGCCACCAGGCCCTGTGCGGCCAGCCACCCACCCACATGGCCAGAGAGAAAGGTCCAGGCTGCTTTCTCCAAGGCAGTGATAACCCGTGGGCCCAGTTCCAGGCGGGGATTGTGTAGGATTCTCTGTGCTCCAGAGGATTCCTGCGTTTCGGCAGACACCTCATTATCCCCGTCCGTCCCAGCCGGCTGTGTCCCAGCGCCTCTGTAATCACTCAGGCCCACGCCCAGCAGCCAGCCCAGGGCCAGGAAATCACTCCCCTCCCCTCCCCCGCCTTCCGCCGCCAGCCCAAAGCGGCGCCTGCAGCCACTTGCCCGGTGGACCTCCTGCCTGCCTAACGGTTCTCTCTCCTCCTCTGATTCTCCTCTCTCTCCTGCTGCTGCTTGCTCTCGGGGGACTCGGAAGTGTGGCTCTCCAGCTGGGCTGAGTCTCCCAAGAAGGACGTGACAGGTACTGCCCTGAGTGCATGTGTGTGAGCATGTGTGTCCGGGGGCACGCACGTGTGGGAGCCGGTGCCCGCCGGCCGCGGTCCGCATGCTTCCCTGTGATGCGTAGCAGCCCGTTGTCGGCATGCCGGCCGTCCCCTGGGCCCCCTCTTGCTCTTCCGCTAGCCGTACTCGCTGCCTTCCTTACAACCCTCTCTAGGCCCCAAGTCCAACCTTGGAGGCTTAGATGGGTGATGACCACATAGCACAGTGTGTAAACAGACGCATTTCGGACCCAGAGGTACGGGTTTGTTCCCAGCTCTGCCATGTCCTGGCTGTGTAAACTTAACCTCCCTCAGCAATGCACTGCCCCCTCCCAGGGAGCCTGGCACACAGAAGGTGCTCAGGGGATGGTGAGGCTACCATCATCCTGTACATGAACTCAGCTGGTCATCCCTGTGAGGTGGGCCAGCCAAAGATGGTCAGTCCCACTTCAGGCAGTTACCTTGAGGCAGAGAGCTCAAGTCTCAGCAGCCCCTCCCTGCCCCCAACCCAGCCTGGTTTCCAGGGGCCCTCACTGGGGAGCTGCAGCAGGTTAGGGAATCCTGTGACTGCTGTCACAGCCTCTGAGCCCCAGAGCTTAGAGCTGCCTCTGCCTCAGTGGCCTTGCCAGGCTTTGGGCTTTGTGGCCCAGGATTGGGCCTCAGGGACTTGGGCCTGTGCCTTGTGCCTAGGCAGAGCTGGGCTGGGGATCAGGGGCTTCCCTGGTCTTACTGGCCAGTGGGAGAGAAACCTAGACAGCAGGGTTCTCAGCTGCTAGAGGGAGATGGTGGCAGGCAGAGGGATGGGAATTCCAGAAGGTCTTCTAGGAGCCCCTCCATTTCTGAGAGTGCTACCTCACACACACACACGTACACGCGCGCGCGCGCACACACACACACACACAC